CGCAACGTTTCTAGAACTATCATGTACTTTGGCGAATGCTCTAGTATTTACTAGATAGGGTAGGCTGGTATATATAAGAGGGGGAAAACGTGACGCGAGAGAGTAATGTAATGTGTGTGTGTGTGTAGATAGTGAGTAATTGATCTGCAGTCAGAAGTATTGTTGACGTTCGTTGATTAGCGTTTGTTTTAACGCGATTGTTGAAGTTGAATGTATCGGTAAAGTTATATTCGGAAAGAATAAATCAGTTTTATTAAGAAAGGACTTGTGTCGCTTAAGTTTCGTCGGAACGAAGTTATGGAAAATTAATTAACAAACGGAGACGGAACAATATATATATATAATTCATATGAGGAAAGATAAATAAAGTTTAGTACAAAATACATCAAAATACAAATTAGTTTTAAAGATGAACATAAGAACTTCTTATGTAAATGCATAGCTTAAAATTAAATTTTGGAAAGATTAATAGCAACCTTGGTAGCTCAGCACTGTAAAGCTTATAATTCAGGGTTTGATCTGTACTGTGGAAACATTGTAACAGCACAGATAGCCTATTGTGTAGTTTTGTGCTTAAAAACAAAGAAACAAAAATTAATAGATATGAAAGAGAGAGTTAAAAAGATTTTTTTTTTTAAAGAAACAATTAAAAAGGTGTGATTCAAAGATAACCACATTTGGTTCAGCAAACAATGATAGTCAGTTTGAAAATCACACATACTGTGCTAATCCAACTCCATAACATTGTTATAATAGAGAAACTTACTAAAAAGTAAAATTATAACTTCTAGATACATTGTGATAAAGGACATTGGAAATTTAGATCACCGAATATAAAGGTATATATTTATTATTACAAAACTGTATTTGTTTTAGACCTGCATAACTTTGTTTAATGTTTCTGCATATTTATTAAATGTTATGTTTAATTTTATGTTTATATCTATTAATTCCTAGAACCTGCTTTTTAATTATTATTCAAATTTCTATAGAACATGTCGGATGACTTCTCTTCACATACTTCTCCTAACTTGAGTGTTCTGTAAAGTTAGTTGTAAAGAATTTATTGTCACAGCATTTATTTTTGTGTTGACCCACTATCAGTAAAACACTTTTAATTTTATATTATTATTACATTCCCCCACTCTTAAATTGATGAAAAAATACCACAGTTTTTCTTTCTGCAGGCTGGGTCCTCAAGTTTCTAGATATTAAAGAAATCGGGTATTTTTATGCTTTGTGTTATTAATCTCAAGATATAATGGAAAAATTGATGTCTAACTAAAAACCCTCAGCATTGAATTTGTTAGTCTGCCTTTTGTTTGTGTATGTGTGTATTAATTGGATAGCTTAAATAGCTAAAAATTGCTTTTCAAATAGTACTAAGTAGGTTAACATTTTTCTCACTTAATTGGTAAAGATAAGTCATCTATTGGACTCTGGACTGAATTTGAACAGTGCCAGTCTTGGTATGGCAGTTGATTTGCTTTCCATTTGAAACTCTATACATTGTTGTTTAACTCATGTACCTTATACTTCCTACATGTTCAATCTAATGTAAAAGTTGAAGAAATATAAGGGAACTTGAATATATCTCTTGCTGTATACTATAGCTTTGGTACTGTTGTGCTACATTCTAGTCAACTAATTATCCTGAGAGCAGCAGGATAAGTCCTGACTGAATTTGTGAGAATAAAATAAATAGACTGGACACATTGTAAAATACAAATGAACAGTATTTATTACAACAAAATCACAAACGTATCACTATTGCTTCTACTGGACTGCATGTTTTCTTTCTCAACTGTACTGTCCATATCATATACCACACTGTTTATATCTAATGTTCCTTACTTAATTGGTAAAGTCAGCCTTACACAGAATATCTAACACTATCCATGTGACTGTCCATTTTCAAATGAAACATGAAGGAAGTTGTAACCCCAACTTCTCATCTTAACTATCATTAGAGGGTGCGGCTGTCTACATTCTTGCACAATGTGCAGCATTTTAGCCTAACCCTCCATGGACAGAAAATGTACTTTTTTTCCAGAAAATGAAAAGGAATAGAAGCAGTTAAAATAAAACCAACTTAACTTTCTTGTGCGTGTGTTATGAGAAAACTAGATATAAACAGAATAATACTATGTTGAAATATAGAGGTAGAAAATTTATGGTATGCTTATATATCACTCTATGTGTATTTAGTTTTTTGTTTTTTCATTTTAGGGGCTCAAGTTACCCAAATTAACCCAGCAGTTCCTTCAGGGTGCTCCAGTACATGCTCGTATTCTTTTCATGCCCAGTGGAGATGCACTATCAAGATTTGGAGCTTTTCACTGTGAAGTCACTAATGGTGGGGTAACAACCAAAATAACAACATTAAAATTACCCTCTGAAAGCATTGGTGAGCAACAATTACTGGAATACATAGATCTCAACATAAAACTTAAGATCATTCAATATTGTAGAATAAATCCATTTCTTTTGACTAACTTAATGTCTAAAGAAATGTAAGAGTTCAATTTGATTATTCTTTAGTTTTGAAATGATTTTCAATACAGTGTTTTACCTTTTGGGTAGTAACTCGAAAGTAAAACTTTGTGGAACATGTTGATATTATTGCTAGTAGCTTAGCCAATTCATAAGTAAAGTGCATAAGTAATTTAAAGAAAATTATAGGCACATTTTATATATATTTTTTCCTGTACTGTAAAATATTTTACATACATACATTTTTTTATTCTTTATTTATCGTCTTTGTGCACTTTAAACTTAAATTGCTATGTATTGTCTGCAGTTTTGAATTATCATATTTTCTATATGTCAATACATTAAACTTTATGTATATATATATGAAATGCAGGTATTTTACATCATATTGAAAAATGCATATACTTAGAACCTGTGTAGTGTTTATATTTTGGTTTTATTATAGGGTCAAGCACCATGTGATGCCTACTGATAATTGTGTATAATTAGGAAGGTTTTCTTTTTGAAATAAAAAGTTTTAAATCTTAAATATTTAACATTATGTTACCACAAATCTTTAGCTTGTGTTGTAACATTTTTCTGTAACTTATCATCAATATTTCTGTAGGTGAATCCACATGATGCAATTGAATAGGATTTTAAAGCTTGAAGAGGAACCATATGAATATCAAATTTAATCTTGAACTTAAGATATACCTGATTTTTGAAGTATACATCAATTGTATACTTACAGCCTGTGCCTTAAAAAGTATTTTTTTCTATATATATAAAAGAATGTTAAGTCACCTAAGCTGCAGTAAATAAAAATATATAACAGTAAAAATATGCACTACGTTTTTAAGTATGTATGTCACTTGCCATTTATTACATTATATTTCTTGCTCTATGTTAAAAAATAGGGAAAGAATTAATAAAATGCACTTGATGTACATGCAAATCTGTCTCACTCGAACCCAGAAGTTCAAGTCAAAAATGCAAGTGATCAAAAATTACCCCATTTTAAAGGCTTTACAATACAGTATGATAATAAATTTTTATGATTGGAGTATTTTAATGCCTAATTTAACATTGTTCTTGACAAGTCTGAAAATTTTAGACTAAAGGAAAAAAATATTAACTTTTGCATTTTCATATTTTACATTCCAGGTAAAAAAAGAATAACTGATGTACTGTTGGATAAATCAATGTTATATGTATGCTTAAAGTTCAAATTGTTTTTTTTTTTAAATTGTTACATTGAGCAGCTGAATTTGAACCAGAAGAGCCTTACATTGTAGCAAATCAAGGAGATGATGTATATTTTGCAATGAAAAAAGTAGTGGCCCTGAATCTACCACTTAGATGGCGTCATGATGGTGGAGACATTATTGAAAAGTGGAATGATCAATTAAATGTCAGTATTCCATCTGTCACAATTACTGATGCTGGTATTTATGAATGCTATTATGAAGGCAGGAGAAATGAACATGTTCATGGAATTTTAAGACTTATTGTTCGAGGTAACTGCTATTTTTGAATACAGTTAAATTTTTTGCTTATTGAAATTAAACCTTAGATTGATAATATGTGTATGAATCTGAATGTTATTCTTAGTATAATATAATTATATTAAAATTTTTGCTATAGTATAGCAAATGATAATTGTGATGTCATTCTGTATTTGCAAACATTTGTTCCGAGTTTTTACATCTGATTTAAAATTTATTGCAAATATTGGTGTTTAAATCTTAGTGAAAGTTATACCAGAATTTGATACAAATAAAGCAACAGGAAACAATGAAAACATTGTATAGAATCAGAAGTAATTTCTAAGCAGAGTCAACTTCATTTATTTGAGGCCTCAGTCTGTGAGTGAGCGAGCTCTCTCAGATATGGAGACTTTGTTCATCATTGGCTTTATTAAGATTTTAAGATAATTTGAATGTACAACTATGCCACATTCACATAGAGCATGTTCAAGTATGCTCTACTTAGTTGAGGGATTTCAAATTTGCATATTCTCCCATACTAGTTAACAATTTCTTTTAGACAACCCAGTATAGTTTTTCTCACAACAGGAACAAGTAAATTTATAAACTAAATTAGATTACTTTTTTTTTTAGGAATATAGTCCTTGAATCTAAAACGAAAAATTGTAGGCAACTATCAGGTTTAAAAACACATTGCAGTTGTATTTAAAGATAAACCACACAAATTATATTTCTTAACTGATTTTTAACACTCAAAGAATATTTACCCATATGTGGATGGTAATAACAGCAGGGTATTTTGGAACTTAACATATTTAGGTGGTTTATTGAAACTTTACATATTCAGATAGTAACAAAGTAGTCTATCAATGACATAAATAGGGAAATCACTTTTCCATTAGAATACTTTGATGTTATCAAATTCTTTATGCAAAGCTTCTTAAGGATAGAACGAAATTATCTACAAGCAATTTATTTGTTTCTTTAAGTACTGCATATAATGTCAATTAGAATAGCAAAATAAATAATGGCATATTATAAGAAATTACAGTAGGATATATATATATATACACATATATATCTTATCAATTTAGCATCTGTCTTTGCTCATATTGATGTAAGTTTTGAAAACAATTTTATAAAAGGATGTCCATCAGGAAAATATGGTCAGCTCTGTGACCAAGATTGTCCACCTTGTTATAATGGTGGAATTTGCCATGACAGATGGGGAGTGTGTGTTTGTCCTCCTGGCTTCACAGGACAACATTGTGAAAAAGGTAAATATGTTTTTTATTTTTCTAAAATCTCCTTTATTACACAAATGTTTTGTTCATTGAAGTTTAGTTTGCATTTTTTAACCTTCATCCTTTTAACTTAGAAAGTAATTTACTAATTACAGTAAAATTATAAAAAAAAAATACTTAAAATATATATTTTGTGAACACTAGAAAATTCAAACCTGTCTTTCAAAATCAATTCATTGGTGGTTAAAAGTCTTCAAAACTTTAACCAAAAAACCAGTTGAAGCATGGTTATAAGTTCCATCTGTCATTTTTTCTAGTTATCTTTGGAAAGAGTTGGATTTTTATAATAATAATAATGTAATGAAACATCATTGAAGCAGTGATAATTCAAAACCCTCACATTTAATTGGACATTGCCATTGCATTAATTTATTATTTGCTTCTGGCAGTGAGGCCTTTTCAGGGTTGTGTGTGAGTACTTTTTTTTTTTTTTTGCATGACAGATGTCTGGCCAGGTTACCATTTTGAGTGAACATAATTTGAATTTACTGAGATATAAAATATAATTTTACTTTATTTAGATTGGTTAGTGAATTATTGAATGATCAAGAGCGTTATATACTTTTGACTAACAACCTGACTAGAAAGAGAAAAGAAACTCAACCTATTTTATTAGATTTATTAAATGATTCTCTTTATAATTTTTTGAGATCTAATGATGCAAAAACACCTTACATTTATGGGTTGCCCAAGATATATAAACAAAATGTACCTCTCAGACTTATTGTATCCACTAGAAGAGTGTTTAATTATAATCTAGGTAAATTTTTAGCTTGGATATTGAGACCTTATGTATTACAGGGAGAGTGTGTTGTAAAAAATATAGTACATTTTACCCAATCATTAGGTACATTCAATCCTTGTAGTTTTTTAGTTAGTTCCTTCTTTATTTACTCAAGTATCGATCAACAAATCTATTGATTGTGCTCTTTCTTGGTTTATATAAGATGAAAATACAAGAACACAAATTCCTTCAGAAGTTTTACAATTAATGTTAATTTTTACAACAACACAAACTGTATTTCAATTTAATGAAGAAATTTGTGATCAGATTGAGATAATAAGTATGAGCAGTCCATTAGCATCTGTTCCGGGTAACATTTTTATGAACATGCTTAATTATAAAGTTAAAAGTATGGTTAATTTAGGATTATGCTTTTTTGTCAGATATGTTGATGTTACGTTTCTTGGCTTTGTTTCTGGACAAATGGTTGAACAGTTTCTAGTATTTTTAAATTCACTACACCTTAATATTAAGTTTATCCATGAGACTGAGAAGGAGGGTGAGTTATCTTTTCTCATTGTCATGGGATTAATAATGATTTTAAAACAAAGATATTTAGAAAAGAAACACATACTGATTTGTACTTGAATTGATCATTAGCTCATCACAGATATAAAAAATAGGGATTATGAAAACTATTAGCTATTGCAAAAACTAATTGCAGTTCAAAAGAAGAGCTGGATAAATATATTATCTGGAAAATGTATTGGTAAAGAAGAATGATTATCCTATTAGTATGGTTAGAAAATACTTATGAATGGATAGGTTGACAGAAAAAAAAGAAAATCCATTCAGATGATTTGGTTTATTGTGTAATTTCTTATGTACTTGGCTTATCAAATATGATAAAAAGATTGTGGAAAGAAATAGAAAAGATATAAACTTTCAATTTGAGTCAAATTGATTTTTTACCAGGAAAAAAGTTAAATATAATCTTAAAAAAGTTAATTATACCAACTGCTGTTGAGAAAGAAGTAGTTTATGGTGTAGAATGTATGGACTGTATATAAGGGAGACTGGTAAGAATTTATGTGCTAGAATAGCAGAACATGAATATGCTCTGTCACATGTCTACCAACATTTTAAAGATACAAAACATTGTAGGGACAATATAATTGTTAAAATTATTTGTTGAGAATCTAATATTAATAATGTAAAATGAAATAAGCCATTTTAATAAAGAAATACAAACTGTTACGTCTCTATGTTCGTTTGTTAATTTTCCATAGAAATTCTTTCTGAGAAACTTCTGCAATACAAATCCTTTCTTAAATAAAACTAGTTTATTGTTTCTCAATTCAACTTCGCTATACACTTAATTTCCACAGTTATTTTAACTTCAACACAAGCTATAATTCACAACGAACGATTCACGCACTTTATTTACGGTGGTTATTGGTGTGTATAACTTCAATCTCCCTCTCTACTACTCCAGTTCCAATTGATCCTCTCCTTTGTCTGGCACGCTTATATACAATCAAAAGCGTGCGCGTAGCACACACTAGCATCTTCACGAATCTTCTAGACACTCATCATGTGTTACCAGCATCACATGATTTCCGCTGTCGTAACACTGCCCCTTCCTTAGTATTGCTCATCCCGAACAATAGCCACTTAAATTAAACCAATATATAATTAACAATAACTTAATTAAATGTACAGAATTTACAAACACTACAAACACAAAATTAAAATTCAACAAAGTCTCTTAATTTTTACGGGACGTATCTTCTTCCACACTGGTCTTCATCTCGTTGGCTTCTGCTACACGTGAGATTCATCTGTTCCATCAGGAAATGTCCTATTATCGGTAATAGTCACATCAGTGGTAGTAAGTTCATGAAGGACTTCACTGTTTCCCTTCTCCAAAACCGAGTAGAGTTTCTTCTTTGACAGAGGCTTTTTAAGGTGACACGTCTTCAGCAGCATCTTTTGTTCCATTGTTTACTTCGTCCCAACTGAAATGTCCTGAACTGTGATAACGCCAAAGCCTGTTGGAATGTACCACCATTGGCTTGCCTCGCCGACCACATTTTATTTGGAAAGTCACGTCTGAGAGATGATCCACTATGTCATATGGGCCTTCCCATGGAGAAGACAACTTAGAAGTCTTTCCTTTGGTCTTCCTGGGATTATACAACCACACCTTGTCTCCTGGTACAAAGCTGACTTTAGTAGATTTGTTATCATAACATAGCTTCATAGAATCAGCAGACGTTTTCAAGTTTGAACGCACTTGATGCTGAATATCATCCATCCTTTCCGATAACACTTTCACAAACTCTGACACATTCTCAGGCAACTCTTCATAAGGTGGGCGTCCTGTTAACAGATCCACTGGCAACAGAAGTTCCCAACCAAACACTAACTTTGCTGGAGTGTA